TAGATATATAGTGCAGGGTATGTGAGAGTTATCATATCGGGCGATAATGCCAGCTGCTTGATTTTTGCACTTTCGCGCGCCAAAAAGTGTTTTCAACTGGGTCGAGCGAGTCGCCAAGGAAAGAAGAGGAAAAAATAGACGGCGAGTCGAGTCGATGTCAATTAATTGATAAGTTACAAGAGCGATAGAGAGAGAGAGAGAGGGGGGGGGGGGGGAGGAAGAGAGAGAGAGAGAGGAAGGCATTGGGGCTAGGCAATTTAATTGCCAGCGACATTTTGTCGCGCATTTGCGAGTCGAATAACAAGATTCTAATTGAATCAGCGGCAGACGCGACGCTCGACCAGCCTCTGATTGGGCCAGAGAGAGAGAGAGAAAGAGAGAGGGAGAGAGAGGAGAGAGGGAGAGGGAGAGCCAAATGTTGGCTGCTTCGAATCGCACTCAGATGATTCGAATAAATCAAATGAATTACGACACATTTTGACATTCAGATTCGGAAGCAAAGCAGCGCGAAGATCTTGAGGCATTGAGTGCAAGTGAATACAGCCCGCAGAGATGAATGTATTCACTGCAGCACAAATTTACAATGAGTGCAAATGAATCAATTGAGTGAATCATATGAAAACAATCATAGATATTCTATATAAACCAAGTGAATACTTTGTATATGCAGAGCGAATAAACGATAGTCGAGTGTGAATGAAATGAAAATTCAATATGAATACGAATAATTATTTGGGTAGCTTTGAATAGCTGACAAATACTCATATTCATGCTGCACTCACTCATTCACTTGCATAAAAAATGTGAGTGCCATGAATGGTGAGCAGTGAATAGAGTGAATAATGCACATGAATAGCTTTGTGAATGTTTCGAATATCGTTTGAATACATTTTGCTGCAGAAGTGAATTTATTTGAGTGAATAGCCAAGACATATTCATAAATGATTCACTTAGAATGAATAAGTGAATGGTGTGAATACCTCAAGTGAATCATGAGCGATTCAATTAATGTGACCTCATGAATATGTGAATACAATTCACTTGCACAATGTTATTCACCAAGTACCCACTGAATATTCACTAAGAAAAGAGATATTCATAAGCAACTCACACGCACAACACTCGCATTCACATGCATTTATTCATGTTCACAATGTATTCACTGTGACTGCATACGAGTGTATTCACATGAGGCTGCAGAAGGCAGCTGAATGAATCAAGTGAATGCATTGAGCTGAAGAGCGAAGCGACACTGAGCCACTCGCACCCATTCACATCGCATTCACCGAGCTCAGATGTGAATAAGAAGTGAGTGCGACTTGAGCATTCAAGTGTGAGTGCTAAATAAATAAATAAATAAGCTAACAAACAGCAAACACTCATTCACAGCTCCAACTGTTGATAGCTTGTGCAAGACGGGGCTGCGCGAGGCGGGCGGGGCGGGGGCGGGGCCGAGGGGGGCTTTGGATATTATTGCTGCTGGCAAATAACAAAAACAATAATTTTGACATTGATGATGACGATGGCGATGATGATGATGGTGCAACGGCAAGTTGCAACTTGCAACAACAACAAGCAACTTGTAGTTTTCGCACTTGTTGGGGCTGCGTGGGGTGGGGAGGAGGGGGGGTTGGGGTGGGGTTGGTAGGTGCTGGCAACGACGTCTCAATGCTATTTGCATGCCACAACAGCAACGTGCAGCAGGCGCATGTGGCGTGCACAAAAGTTGCAACTTACACATGTGGCAAGCGCCTTGCCACAAGCTGCGGCCGTCCGTACGTCTGTGCGGCGCTGTGTGTGTGCACCGTACGGTAGAACAAATGAATGAGTACTTAAAAAACTTTTTACAAGCCACTCAAAGTGTGTTGGGGGCAGCTGCAACAGCAACAGCAACAGCAGCAACAACAACAATTGCATGTTAGGCGCAACACTTTCGCAGCATTCAGCTGCAGCGCTGACCCCGACTAAGCCCGGCAGAGCGAGCGAGAGGGAAGCGAGAGCCAGCGAGGCAGTGGGCGCGGGCTGGGCGTGGCAGTTGGAGTGGTTATGTTTATGGATGGCCACTTGGTTTAGTTTCACACTTGAGCGCCAGCTGCTAATGAGCTTAAGGATTAACGAGCGAGCGAGCGAGCGAGAGAGAGAGCGAGAGAGAGCGAGAGAGAGGGAGAGGGACAGAGTGAGTGGGGGCAATAAACTTTTTGGCGCAGCGCAATGGAAGTTTACATATTTGTAGAGGCGGCGCGCCAGCTTTGTTTGGGCGCGTCAATGGTGGGCGTGGCTGTAGCACGGCACGCCCACGCAGCAGACGCCCAGCAGACGTTGCACGAGAAACTTTTCTTCTCTCTTTTTTTTTGCGAAAAAAAAAACTATTTTTGCAAATATTTGCTTAGTTTTTCTTCTTCTTCTTTTTTTGTTGCCTCCAGACCCAGCCCAGCCCAGCCCAGCCCAGCCTTGGCAACCCACTTGCCGCGGCTTTGGCTAGGGTATAGCCAGGGAGGCGGCGAACGAGGGGCTTAAAGCGTCGTTCGAGGCGTCAAAGAAATTTGTAGCTTAGCAAACAAAGGCGAAAACGCAATGAATCACTGAGTGAATAAGTGAATAAGTGAATAAGTGAATGAGTGAATGAGTGAATGAATAACTGAAGAAGCGCCAAAGCTGTGCAACGCTGTGAGTGTGCATAGGCTAAGAGCAGAATGGAAAATAAATAGATTCAAAGTGCATATTCAAAGATATTCACATGAATCATTAAGTGAATAATTAGCTAAATAAACAAAATGAATACGAATCAATAACAATTTAGTGCCTAGACAATTCAGTCAATTGAATGAACGAATCATTGCATGCAAATGCTATTATTCACATGTGAATCATATGAATCATTTGAATGAATATTTCCGATACGCCAGAATAAGGTATCTCAATACAAAATGAGTGTTATTCAAAGAATATTCATATGAGTGCAATGAATAGAAATGAATGTTTTGTTGTAGATTCGAATGTATTCGTTGGCAAATACAATATAAATTGAGTTTTACGTGAATCAATATAAATGTAAACAAATATTGAATGAATCAATGTGAATACTTCAAATATGTTTGAATATTCAAATTTTATACAGAATTCAGAAGAAATTTTAGATAGATTCATATAGAAATGTAATGTGAATACAAGTGAATCACTAAGATGTCATGAATATTATGGATATATCTAATAAGATTAACATTAATTTTGTGAATGCACTTATGAGTGTTAAGTGAATAAATGGCCAAACTATGAGCAAATATATATGATTAAATTATGTATGATTTGCCATGAAAACAGTGAATGAATGATTTGAATATATTCAAATATCAAATGGGTATATTTGAATAATCATTGCTTGAATACATCATGAATGAATTTCTATTTAAAGAGAAGAGAGCATTCAGACAGTCGAATGTATTCGCAATTGAATGAATACATACCAAGAGTGTTCTATGAATATGTATGAATAAGTTCACAAATGAGCTGAGTGCTTGAGTGTATTTGAATGTGTGAATGAATATGACTATGAATACAAGTGAATATAACTGTTGTGCTGCACATTGATGCGACGCGTCCACTCACGAGTGCACATGAATACACTTGCTGACTATTCACATCAGTATTCAAACACATTCACTTCACTGCACTTCAGCTATTCACCTTGTCGCTGTGGCGTGCTTGAACGGGCACTCAGAGCGATTCATCTGCCATTCACTAGACACTCATATGAATAACTCTCGCTCTCTCAAGTAGGTGTGAATCCTGAAACGCATTTTCACGCGCCAAGCACAGCGTCTAAAGAGGATAACGAAGGCACGCACAGACTCGGCTCGTGAATATATTCTTATGAGGATTCTAAACTGCGTTGCTTTTCACCTACTTTCCCCAAAGCCAGCCAGACAGAGGGCGAGTCTCAGTGTGTGAGTGTGTGCCACATTAGAACGTTAAGATGCTTGAGACGCCACACGTGCTTAAGTAGCTGGCAAGGATAAAGGTTGCCCAAGCACTGGGGCTCCCTCGCAGAGCGCTCGACTTGCTGCTCAAGCATTGACCTACGCGAAAACGTCCAAATGGCCATGGCCAAAAGACTTGGAGAGCAGCCCAAACAGAATATCTAGTTAAGGTTCATCCTGCTAGAGTCAGGACGTCCGACTAGAAGAAGGCCTCGCCTGGGCCATTCACTAAGGACGGAAGGATGCCAGGACGCAGGGCGAGAGCTCTTCAAATGCTTAGATCCGCTTGATATATATAAACATATAGCTTACATAGAGCGAAAGCAGGGTAAACCCCAGGTTGGAATTAGGCTTATGTGCAAGGAGAAAATTTTCCTTGGAGTAGCAGGAATGAGCCGGACAAACGGGCAGGTAACGAATAGCTCTGAGCAAATAGATCAGTCCAAGGCATAATTTGGCAAATGAAGTTTGAAACTTTGATGTGATTTGAAAGCAAACAATTAGAAATAATCAAAGCAAGGCAGGAAAACTGAGGCTGAAATTGAAACTGAAGGAAGCAAGCGGCTAGAGCCTGCCCCAGGCAGTGTCCGTGGCGTAAGCAAGCGACAAGCCTCTGCACCCGAAGCATATACCAGATATAGCCTTTATACAGTCTAGCTGAGAGGCAGCTAACAACAAATCAGTCAACAGCTGAGGCACTGGTGGCCTTAAGCCAAATGAAGTGCAGTCAAAGTTACACTAAAGAAACACAGCTCAAGGATCCCTCGGAAACTTGAATTCAAGGAAATCGAGCACAATCACTAGACTTTTCAGGCAGGTTTTATGGATCGAGGCAACACAGTTTTACACTTATCGAACACAAGGGGTAAGCACATGAAGGATCTCTTGATATGCCTATGCACTCAAGGATAGCTGGAGAGATTCATGGATGCACTTGAGCACTTCCTCGAGTCTCGAGTAGCCGATGGCAAGGAGCCCTGGCTATAGGTCTTAAGCTGGTTGGGTCTGTGGGTCGGTGCTTACCTGCCGCTCTTGGTGATGACCATTTCGGTGCCGAGCTTGTGGAACTTCTCCCAGAGATCCTTGCCCTCGAGCGTGACCTTGGGATCGTCGACGACGCCATCGTCCTCGGGCTGCAGGGCGCGCAGCGGTCGCATCGCCGGATGCAGCTGATGTGCAACGGCCGAGGCGAGCACCACGTCCTCGGCGGTGGTGTAGGCGGTGCCCAGCGGATGGTGGGCGTGCGGATGCGCCGGATGCGGTGGGAAGCGCAAGCCGCCGGCGGCGCTGTACAGCCCCGGATGATGCGGCCCCGCCGGACTGCCGGCCAGTGCGGCAAGCGCTGCAGCCGGAAAATATGGCGGCGGCGGCGGCTGCTGCTGCTGCGGCCCCAAATGCTGCTGTTGCTGCTGCTGCTGCTGCTGCGGCAGCGGCGGCGGATGTGTGGGATGCGTTGGATGTGGCAGCCCAGCTGCAGGTGGTTGCTGCTGCTGCTGCTGTGGAGCTGGTGGCGGCGGTGCAACGCTGGGTGAGTGGTGCGCGGGTAAAGACGGCAGCGGCCCAGCTGCTCCAGCAGCAACGCCAACGGGCGGCAGCGGCGGCGGCGGCGGCGGCGTTGCCGTTGGCGTGTTCGCCTGGCTGCCGCTCAAAGCTGATTCGCTGCTGTTCAAGTGATTGTTGTTCTTATTGTTGCTGTTGTTGTTGTTGTTGTTGTTGTTGTTGTTGTTGCTGTGATTGCTGAGCGGGGAGAGCTGCGAGGGCGAGCCGCGAAAGTTGGCAGCGCCGCCCGAGCCGGGCGAACTGAGTGCCTGAGCTGCGTTGTTGTTGTTGTTGTTGTTGCTGTTGTTGTTGCTGCTGTTGCTGCTGCTGTTGTTGTTGTTGTTGCTATTGTTGTTGTTGCTGTTGCTGTTGCTACCCGCCGTCAACAGCGACGAGACGCTGAAGTCAGTGGGTCTTTGCGAGAGCTGCAGAAATGGATGATATGCCATCCCATTTGCGAACCTGGCGAATGGATCCTCAGCAGACTGATGAAGTAGCAGCTCCTGGACGTCGTATCTCATTACATTACAATTTACAACAACATGTGCGTCACGCAATAAATTAACAAACTATTTCGAGTTCGAGTTCGAGTTCGATTTCGAGTTCGATTTGTCCTCCAGTTGAACAGGTACTTTGATTATCTCTCTCCCTCCCTCTCTCTATCTATCTCGCTCCTTGTATATATTTTAATAAAAATTGATTTATTTATTCCTTTTGTTTACACACACACACACACACACACGCACATATTTGTGTAGTATATTTTCTCTTTTTGTTGTTGTTGTTGTTGTTGTTGTTGTTGTTGTTATCTTTGCTGTGCTTGATATGACAAAAAAAATAAACAATTATTTATTTGGATTTCTTTTCGCTTTTCTCTTCAACTTTTTGTTAAATTTCAAAAAATAATTTGTTTTGGCGGCGGCAAAACGTCAACGCGACGACGGCAACGGCGACGGCGACGCAGGCTTATTGAAAGCTGCTGCTGCTGCTGCAGTGACTATTACTTGAGCTGCTGCTGTTGGCACAGCTGCTTTTATTGTTATTAACAAATTGTGCAGCTTCCAACCAGAAAAAAAAAGTAATGGGAAATATGTTTTTGTTAGAGAAACGTTCACGACAAAATAACTGACACAGACGGGCCAACGACGACGACGCCGATACGAACTACACGCCGGTCGCTTCCAAACTGGAAAATACACAGACGTACGCAGGCAGCGCAACCCCCGAAGACAACAAACAATACGAGCAACGACGACGACGACGACGTCGTCGCTGTCGCTGCCCGGGTGGGCAGCGCATTTTGGCGAGTAGCAGTCGAGTGTTGAGTGAGCCAGAGTGAGAGAGCGTGCTGTGCATGTGCATGTGTGCGTGTGGTGTGTTGAGTTTTTGTTGTTGGGCGTGCGAGTGAGTCGGATTGGGTATGCTGCGCACTGCTGCTGCTGCTAGAGTGTGGGAGCAGGGCAGACTGAGAGACATACACTGAGAGCGCGACTCCAATAAGAAAACCTAAAACCAAAGTGTTGAGTTGATGCTTTGCTGTGTGTGTGCGTAAACGTGTTTGTATGCAGGCACGAATGTGTGTGTGTGTGTATGTGTATGTGTGTGCAGACAAACAATAAGACGACTGTGACAAACCAACCAGCGGCAGCGGCGCCGACGTCGGCAGCGTCGGGCCGTCGCAAGGCGTGTGACAAGCAGCATGAAGCGTGTTAGAAGTAACAAGGCAGCTGACACCAAAAGTGCAGCGCGCCAGAAAAATGCCTTAAAATGAGAGCAACGCATAAAAAAAAACACACACACTTATACAAAAAAAATAAATAAAATAAAAATAATCTGCTAGAGTGTAGTAAATCATAGCCAAAAAAGAACCAAGTACAAAATAAAGCAGGAAAGCTGTTAGCTCAGGGGGGAGGGGGACGAGTGATGTGTTGGGTTCTGGGGTAACGGCCAAGTTGACAAATGACGCGCAAGCGAAAAATGCGCTTCAATGGTCAAATGTTTTGATGGACCGACGAAGGAGGAGGAAGCGAGGGAGAGAGAGGAGCGGTAAAATGAGAAGGAGGCTTGATAAATGGGCTGCGCAAGGAGCAGAGCGTATGTATGTGATGTAGTGTGGTGGGGTGGGCTGTGGGGTGTTCGCTTGGTGGGCAGAGGTGAGTAAAGCACAGTAAATGCGATAAAAGGCAACACAGATAAGGCAAATAACTGTACAGCGAGGGGAATACGAGAGGCTCGAGTTGGAACGCAGCGCGTGCTGATTTGACCTAGACTGACCTTTTTCTGATCAGAATGTACAGAAAGCGCTTTAAAAGCGCTTGTAAGAGAGGGCTACAAGAGCGATCGCAAGCTAAACTCTAAAAAAATTAGTCTACATTTTCAATATTCTAAATTAAAATTAAAAATTATTTTGTCATTCTCTTAAGAAAATGAGCTTTCAGGTCAATATGGTACCAATAAGAATTTATTCTCCACTTTTCTGCTCTATAAAAATATGATTTAATTTAAATCAAAATGCCTTTCTACCAATTGGAAGTTTGCATTGAAAATAACTTTAAGGGCTTGCCAATAAGAATTGATTATGTTATTCATTTAAGCAAGCTGCAGTTGGAATTAAAGCTTTTCCCAATTAGACAGTATACAAACGATTTTCCAATTGAGTTGTGGCTGCCATCCGAAAACTTCACGTCCAATTAGAATATCAATCCCAACTAACGGCCAAACCTACAACACCATAGAGTATGGGGCGGGCGATAAGTGCGGATTAGGCGCCGCATTTCAAAGTTAAACGCGCTTTAGCCGCTTTGGCAGCTTTTGTGCGTCCGCAAATGTAAATACAGGAGATTTATGTCGCGACAGGAGCAGCAGAAGCAGCAGCAACTTCGGCGCCGACGACGACGCCGACGCCTAAGCAGCGTACAAATTCGCAAGTGCGAAAAAGCCGAGCAAAAAGAAGAGGAGCAAAAGCAGAAACAACAACAACAACAGCGAGAAGAAGAAGAAGAGCTGGACAGGCGCGCGTGTGACAAACTTGACGCTAAGTTTGCGCAAACACGGCCAGTGGCGGTGGGCGTGGGTGTAAGCGAGACGGCAAGAGACGAGGCGTGCAAATGAAAGGCAAAGCTCAAGCAGAAGACATACACAAACACGCTCATACACACATATCTATATATATATACAGGGGCGCACACACAGACAACAGCAGCAGCAGACAAAGAAACTTTGGCAGCGGCGACGGCGACGGCGCCAAAAAGCAAAAACGGCAACGCAAATGTATTTTGTCACACGTTTTCATACACACACACATATATACAACATAATAACACAAGCAGTGTACATGTGTGTGAGCTGGCTGGCACTATTTGCGTCGCCCGTGCGCAAGAAAAAGACGACAAGCGCAACGACAGCGACAACGACGACGACGACGACGACGACGTTGAACTTGCTACCCGACAGGCTATTCATTGTTGTTGTTGTTGCTGCTACTGAGCACTGCTCAGCTTGTGTGACAAGTTTAACCACAAATACATATGCACAGAGAGCATGCACACGCACACACACGTACATAGCGACGCGCCAGCTAGTTAACACCACACCTCACAATGGCGGCGGCAATGTTAACTCCTCTGCGCCGTACCCAAGCCGTACCGTGCGTGTGAGTGAAACGGCGCGTCGTCGTGGTGGCTGCTCTTGTTGTTGTTGTAACTGTGTAAGAGGTGACAACATTTCTTTGCGTAGATGTGTTTGTGTGTAAGTAAGTGTACGTATATATACATGTGTCGGTGTCTGTGGTGTGAAAAATTACAGCAGCAGCGACGCCAACGCCGAACGTCGTCGTCGTAGCTGTTGCTGTGGTGAAGAAAAGACAATGAGGATGCTACACGTCAGCCAAACCTGTGGCGAGTCTTGTTTTTGTTGCTGTTGGTGTAGTGAAAGGCGATTAGTTGGCTTAGACTCCTAACAGTGTTCATATCAGAAATGTAGTTTTGCCTCAAGTGGGCAAGGCGTAAGGCATAAGCAAAAGGTTAAGCAAATACAAAGCCTTCTGACTTTAATTGCAACTCAATTGGCCACACTCTACGCTAATGTTAAGGCAATAACGGCAGCGCTGCAGCTGCGCTGTAACTGAAAGAGCAAATGGATATTAACGGCAAAATCAACAGCAACAGCAATAACAACAGCAAATGCTCGAAATATGCTCAGAAGGTGTCAAAAAACAACCAACCAAAATGCCGACTAACGCCTGGCCAAAAGCTGCTGCTGCTGCTGTTCACTCTCTGCCGCTTGTTTGTATATTGATTTAGCTCTGTGTATGGGTGTGTGTGTGTGAGTGGGCAGCTGCTGCTGCTGCTGTGGTGTGTTGAATAAGGCTTACACCACAGCATCTGCAGCGGGCGCGAGAGCGAGCGAGCTTAGCCGTAAGTGCGCTCTCGTTTACTACTCTACCTCTCTCGTTCTCTTCTATCGCGCGCTCGCTCGCACCCGTGCTTGCTATTTGGCCATAGAAGCGTCGCATAGTAAATTTCGTCTGATTTTTTGTTGGCGCTTTGTAGCTAATTAAAAGTTTATGTGTGCACACACACACATACACACACACAGACACGTACACAGACAGGGCAGCTGCTGGCTGCCTCATAATTATCTGAAAAACTTTATTTGACGGCGTTTATTTGACTGGCTGCCTTCCCCCAGAGAGGGAAGGAGGGAGATGGGGGGTAGAGGTCTCTCTATCGCTCTCGCTCACACGCCTGTGTGTGGGCATGTTTATTTGCTTAACATGGTTTAGTTGCGCCTGTATTTGTGTGTGTGAAAATTTACAAGCGGCGCGCGTTAAATTATCCAAATATGTTGGGGGCAAAAAGGTGACGACGAATGGGTTAACACTTTGACTGGCGCGTGTCTGTGTGTGCGATTGTGTGTGTGTGTGTGTGTGTGTGTGTGTGTGTGTGTGTGTGTGTATGTGTGTGTGTAAATAAACAAAATTATGCTGGCCATTAGCCAGCTTGAAGCCTTTAGTTATAGCCCTATTGCTCACTCTTACAAAAATGTCGCTTGGCTTGTCTTTTCTGTAGCCACGCCCACTGCCTGTCTGCCTGTGCAACGGCAATCAATAAAATTAGCATAAACTTGAATTTCACGCTGCCAAAAACAATGAGAGCTTCTTACACACACACGCACATGGCTTTGCTTTAACAAACACAAATACAAAGCCAAAGAATCGCGCCATAATAAATGTCTAGCCTTATGTAAACGCAGACAGAGTAGCTCTATCTATGTGTGTGTGTGTATGTGTGCACACCGACACTCTCAGACACACACAGACACTCAGACGGACACACGATTGGATAAGAATCGCAGCATTTACATAGTACGAAAGGCGAAGGACGCAGGACACCAAGGCACTCGGGCGCCACATAAGCACAGTTCATATGCCGCATATTAATGGAGCAGAGTAACAACTCACCCCGACCCCTCGCTTCTCACGTCTCTCTCGCTACCTCTCCCTCTCTCTCTCTCTCTCTCTCTCTCTCTCTTATATGCGCAAA